TTGGTAGTAAATGTAACTGTTCACAAAATGAGATCAATGTTCTTCCTTGTATGCGGAAATTAATGTGCAATAATAAGAATTTGCAGTACACGTTTTGGTTTTGTATGGCCATTATAGGTTTTCATGTTGGTTTGTATTAATTTGTAGAAGATTATTTATCAGTATGAAATGAGATACTAACATTTAAATGTGGTCTTGTAATGTATCTTTACACCAGCTATCAGAAAGCTCAACGGATTTATTCTTTTTAAGAAATATATGGCTTAGGTTTAGTCATTCTTTAAATTTCAGTGTTTCTACAGTTTTCTTTTTTTGTTCTAGTGGTAGAAGCACCAACTCTGTAAAGATAATGGTTTAAAAAAAATCCTGTTTCCTTTTCACAGAATCAGCGTGAATTTTTATTCTCTAGGCCTTGTCAAGCTGCTTATATTAAAAAAAAAAAAAAAAAAAAAAAAAGAAGACAAAACCCCTGTAACAATAAAGAAAATCAAATTCCTTTAATCCTAGGTACTATCTATTTTCTACCTGTCCTTAAACCTGAAACTTCCTTCATTTCTTCTTTAAAAGGATGGGGATTCCACAACATCTCTAGACAGCCTGCTTGGTTGTTTATATGGCAGCCTTTTCTAGGCTGAATAACTGTTACCACGTGTAGTGCTGTCCCTTCCTCTCTAAAACCCTTACCTCACTGTGATCTAGGTTCTCCTATTTGTGTACATCTTGTTTGTGTATATAATGACAAAACAAAAATACACGGCTGTAATTGATTCGTGTCTGGTAGGACATAATGAATTCTCTTGTGCCTGTAACACTTGCCGTATTCTATCTCAGGAGGAAAAAACACTTGGACTCGCAGTCAGTTTTCTGTTTGGTATCTTTTTATGAGATGCTTTTCATCACAACAGAATGACTGGTTAATCCGTATTTCATATAGATGCGCTTCATTTATTCTAAAAGATATGGTGTGTTCTGTTTGTCTTAATGAATTTCATGTTATTCCTTTTGGAGCACTTATTGCTACAATTAATTTTGAATTAAATCCTCAAAAACACTTATGACTGCTTCTAACTGCAGATTTTATATAGCTATTGTGTTTTATCATCAAAGTTAATGAAAAGATTGAGTAGAATCAACACTGGGAACCAATCTGAAATGCCCATTCAATTTGAATACAGCAATATAGGCAATATAATAGGGAAACTGACTTTCAAAGAATTGAAAGACTTAAATCTCCCTAATTAACATAGAATAATTAAGTGGCATGAGAATAAGGAAGGGAAAATAGTGTCTTTGGCAGAGGAGCCATACGACGGCAGTCAAATGGAATAAAAAAATGTTTTGCCATAAATTTTTTGAATGTTAGAATCTTTTTAGCCTTTTGCCAGCAGATATGGTGTTATGATCTTGATCTTTTCTGTAAGATACTTCTGAGATCAGTAAATGAAATACTGTGCTATATATTCAGTAAACATTCACAAAAACTACCAGCTTTCCAGGATAGAAGAGCTGTGTTAGTATGGGGGTTTGGGGAGGGGGGGGGTGTTATTTGTTTGTGGTTTTGGTTTGGGATTTTTTTAATGCCCTCTTCAAATTTCAGCTGTGCCAGGTCAGGAAAGATGCCAGTTCTTCCCTTTTTTCCAGAATACAATCCAAACAACTGTATTTAAGGTTTTGTTTCCTTGGTAAGGATAGATCGAAGAAAGGCTCTGTACATACACAAAAATGAGCAACTAAAAAAGTTTTTGAAATTATGTGAAGTTATATGAAGTACATGAAAGAGAACACTGAAGAGCACGGGCTTTTTAAAATTGAAATTGACCTAAAATAGAAGTGAGTACCATGATATTTCTGTAAGGTGCATACTGTTTGTCCTAAAGCAAACAAATATACAACTAATTTCTTCAATACAGACTTTGTCTTTTAGCCACTTGGCAAATATTTTCCATCTTATTTTTGATTTGTGCTATAATCACCATGATTATATATGCCAATTGCATGAATCTTTGTTGCAACTGGAACTGAAGCACTTTCATTCATCGGCACCTTTTGACAGAGGTCAGCACAGTTCTACTCAGTGTTAGCTTTTATTTCAATTTTGGGCAACTAGTGAAGGGGGGAAAGATGTGCCTAGGAACAAACAAACATTTTTTTCTAGCATGTTGCTTGGTGTACAATTCATTTCAATGGCAAAACAGTAAATACAGTAACTGCATGTTAATGGTCTGTTAAATATAGTTCAAATCACTAGTGATTTTAATTCTATTTTTGTTTATAAATAAATGTTTCTACCTGTGTTTTTACACAGAGCTCAAGTTCATTCTCACAGTATTTAGCTTCACTTTGGTACCTGCCTGGTGCCTTGGTAAAGTCAAAAGGAATGGCAGATAGCAACACTGAAAACTAGGAAGGGAAAAAAGTTTCATTGGGGGGGAGGAGGGGGAATCCTTTTAAAAGATCAAGGCCTAGACTGTTCTAAATTCTTTGAACTAGCTCTTTCTGGATTTTCATTCTCTAAGAAGACTTCTCTCTAAGAAGTCATACGGGTTGTAGAAAGGAATAGATTTTCAGGGCTACTTTTACTTGGCAAAATTGAGTTTCAAACAACCAAGAAATGTTGATCTCTGCTAGCTGCAGAAGCTCTCTAGCCTCTCAGCTAGAGAGGGACTATCGTTTTAGCCACATGTTAAAAGGAAATGAGTTAATATTTTCTATCAAAATGTTAGCTTCCTCTATAGAAAATGTTACTTGTCAAAAGCATCTTTTCCTCATTTTGCACAATCTAATAGGAAGCACCTTGTTCAAATTCATTCACGTTTCTGTTTCCCTGTGATAGCTGTTGAAAGGATAAACTGTTGTCTACTGATAGAAGCAAGAGAGTGGTGGTAGGACATCCTGATTTTTAATTATTGCTGTTAAAACTAATTCCCTGTTGGCTTTGGGCAATTTACTTCAACGTCTTTTGTTTGATGTATCATTTAATCTATGAGCTGGGGAGGGCAGCAGTAGTTATTTCATACGCTAGGAAGAGTAAGAAGTGAACCTTTCAAGTTTAACATGGTGTTTGGGATTTTTTTTTTTTTTTCACTCGCGGGCTTGGGGCATCGACCATCTGTCTAGGAAGCCTGTTCTGGTGTTTTACCACCCTCTCGGTAAAGAAATGCTTCCTAATGTCCAGTCTAAACCTCCCCTGGTGCAGCTTATATGTTATAGGATAGGCAGTATTTTTCATTAGATTGGTATGGCTGGAAATGGTTAACAAGTTCTTCAGGTTGGAAGCAGAGATGGAGTTGTCCTAGTTCGTGCTGACTTTTGCCTTTGTGTTGCCCAGCTGATGGTGGCTTGTTGCCCTCTGCATGCTTCCCTGGTAACTCCTCACTGTCTGTTCATCTCGCCTGTACTTTGTATGCTTGACTGTGAGGATGTTATTGGAGACTGTGTCAAAAGGCTTACCAAAGTCAAGCATCCATTGTTCTCCCCTCCTCTGTTGAGCCAGTCACCTTTTTGTAGAAGCCTATCAAGTTGGTTAAGCACTATTTACCCATCATAAATCCACGCTGACTACTCTTGATGACCTTCTTGTCCTTCATATGTTTGCAAATGGTTTCTAGGATTACTTGCTATATCATCTTCCCGGGATTGAGATGAGGCTGAGTAGTCTGTAGCTTCCTGAATCCTCCTGCTTGTCCTTCTATAAGATAGGAGTGACGTTTTCTTTTTTTCAATCCTTTTAGCAACTACAAAGGTTGTGGAGGAATAATTTTGGGAAAATCTTTTTAGTAATCCTTAGCAGAAATATGTTTCTGTGTATGAAGAAAAACCTACTTATTCGCTAAGACATTTTTTCAGTTTTTCTGCAATTTGAATTCTTCTAGCAAGTAAAATGAAACATTATCTTGCATATTTAGCAAGTGTGTATTTCAGTTATTTCAGTTGTATATACCAGGACATAAGACTGAAAAAAGCCTGGTGAAGACAGGTTTCCTAAAATGCCTTTTCATTTAAAGGAAAGGATAGGAAGCTGCTGTGTGGAAGAGGGTTGTCTAAGCTCTTCTATAATACAAGAGTGCTTGCTGATTTTTGGCTTTACTATTTAAAATATGTGAGCTAAATCTAATGAGATGTACATAATGGAGCTGTATTTCATCTATATAGTTGCTAAGTTAAACCGGCAGTATTGCCATGCTTCTAAAAGCTAAAGATAGGAACTGATACAGTAACAGTCCTGTGTAAGTACCATGTAACTCTGCTGCTAAGTGTTACCCTTTTTTTTCCTGTGAATATGCGTAATTGCAGCATTGATTAGAGTTGCATGTTCACAAAAAGAGAAAATTGACCCCTGCAGAGAGTAGGTGAGGGATTAGGTTTTTTATTAACAAACCACTTGCTTCTGTGTAAACTGAAGACATGTTGAATGTTTTCTTGAAAATAAAGTGACAATCTGAGTCAATAAGCAGGTTCTACTTGCATCTAATTCTTGTAACAGAGTTAATCTATCTGCGTATTTGATGTGATACCATCACTGACAGAATTAAAAGTTGTTCTGCTTTTATTCCTCCCTGGTTTATTTTTATTTCAGGCAAACTATGATCTTATGTGACAAGAATGCTTTTGTTTTAGTCATGGATTTAAAGGGGGTAGTGGGGGTGGTTTCTGTTTATCTTTTTGTTTTTCTCGTTACCTCAGCTGTAACACTGTGAGCACTGCTGTAAAGATCAGCTCTGCTATTGGTCAGGTAGCTGTAACCAATTATAATTGGATGAAAATACAAGTTTATAGATAGCTTTTTTTATGTAGATATGCTCTGCTTTAAGACTTACAATGGAGCAATGGATTACTTTTAAACTGTATCACTTCACTAATGTGATTCTTTATTGGCTGGCATTAAGTACGAGGTTATTTATCCATTATAATGTCCATATTATAAATGCTTCTTCTGGTTTTATATTTTAGGTCTAAAAATATTTGGAGGGAGATTAAGTGGTTCAACAAGTAACGCTCTAATGGATGACAGAGAATTTCTGCCAAATGATCTGCAAATAGATTTTTGCTGACTATAGGGTGGAAAGTTTAGCATCTCATTTGGTTTCTTCAGCTGATGAAAATGAAAATCGACTTGACAATGATGGGAATGAGGTTCTGACCAGTACTAGCATTGCTATGGGACGACAGGATAAAGGTGAGCAGGACAGCATCAATAATAATGAGAATATGGACAGTGGAGACTGTACCCCAAGCTGTAAGGAAAGTGAGACTGAGAGGAGATCTGTAAATATCCATATGGACCCCCAGCTGGAGGAAAAGCCTATTGCAGAAAAACAGCCAGGTGGAAAAAGAAGTCCAAGAAGCAAAAGAAGCTCCAGTAAAAAATCTAAAGGTACTTTATAAAAAAAAGGTTTTGTTCTGTTTACTTAAAATAATAACACTGTAGTTCTAATCTGTGAACTAATAAGATATATTTTAGTTGTCATACTAATTATTTTTAAAATTTCACTAAAGGGTGGTGGTTTTTTTTCAGAACTGTTAATAGTCCTAAATCAGATTCAACTCTAGATAGTTCTCACCTTCTGTATTTAAACGTTGACTATGTAGCAAATGGAACATATCAAGGAAGCACGAGTAGAGGGAGGTGCAGAGTTTCAGTATGGAAATTGGGCTGACTTCCAAATCAGAATAGCCAGAAATTCAGGCAATATGGTTTTGTTCATTTGAACATTGTGCTCGAGTGCAAGATTTTGGTGTCTTGATCCAGTGTCAAGATTTGAAATCTTGGTATGAGTACTAAATAGCTTGATCTTGGCCTGCTGTTGTCAAAATTTACTTACATTTTTCAAAGCTTAATAGATAGTCCTAGGATGTGCATTTTGGGTAATGAGCTGTTCAAAAATGTGCTTCTACCAATTTAGATCTTTTGGATATGAATTGGATAAGGAAAATGTAAATGTTTATTGCATGTTCTTATTTGAGATGCTTCTTCCCTTTTTGAATGAGTAGGATTTGTCTGCATCAACACAATGCTATTATATTAGGTTTTTGCCATAAATCATATGTGATTTATGACAGCTTATGTGTCATAATGCTGCAAATAATTAAAATCAGTGTATTTCATCACACAGGTATCTTTGAAAGTTATTTGGAACAACTGAATCATGCCTGCTTTTTTTTTTCCCATTCTTTTTTTTTTTTTTTTTCATCTAAAGACTGAGAAGATGGGGAATTTGGCTACTTAAAATAGATAATTTTAAAATACAATTTTCCTGCTAAATGGCAAGTCTTTTATGGCCTAATCTGAAAACTGGTGATGATCTTAAAGGATTATAAAATAGATAAAGAAGGGAAAGGAAGGAAGCCTTGCATTCCATATCTTGTACGTATAGGGAAAATTTAGAAGAGAAAAATTATATTTTCTAATAGAGATAAGAGGATCCTGAAATCTGTCTTTATAAGGAGAACGAGTTCTCATTAAATGATGCAGAAAGTCATTAAGTATATATTTCAACTGTAGATTTAATATTTAAAAATAGAAGAAAATATTTACTTAAGAGATTCACGGAAGTAATTGAGAACCAGTCATCTGCATGATGGGAATAACAAAAAACAAGTTGATGAAATGTGATACAGATGTGTTGACAGAGGTATCTGAAGCACGATGAGAGGAAGAAAAGGAGAAATTCACCCAAACACTGAAAGTTAAACTTTGCTTGTATTCTCCCTCCACTAGTTTGTATTCTTGTTGATAAATGCAATCAACTGATGCAGAAGTACCACAAAACAAGCTGTGCACAGTAGATGGCAGTTTTAAGGCAAAAAGCAGAAATCTGAAATATAGAAAATTTCATGGAAAAATCTAGAGATGTACAATACCACTACAGAGAACGTCCTGCCTGCAAAACTCTTAAGAGTTTTCTTGAATTCCTACGAACAAACTGTTAATAATGAACCTCGACTGTTATAGAAGGAAGATCAAAATATAAAATTACGTTATATATCCCGTTGATTACAGGCTAATTTACATTTAGCTTTTTAGATATTCTCACATCATGGTTCTCCTGTTTTCACACAATGCAGTGACTGTGTCACAATTTCTTGATGTTGCAAATGTCTTCATTTTAGTAAGAATCTTCCATTTAACACCAGCTATTTTAAACAATTCCCGAGTATCCCTTTACATAAAAGAACCAAACCAGTTTTCTTGTCTTTATACCAACTCAGAGATGAAGGAGAGAATAATCAAACCAGAGTGGAAGATCCCTGAGTGGGTGACATCAGAGCGCCACACAAGCAAGCTGGAATCACAAACTAAATACTTGCATGCCATGTATTATGCTGATTTTTTTTTTTTTTTTTAATTTTTAACTATTGAGAAATCATGGATGAGTTACTTTGACTCATAGCTAAAGAAGAGATTTATGAATCTTCTTCTCTTTTCCTTTAAGCAAACCTGTTAGGATCACTTAAATGTTGCCATTCTGGAAAAGATGACATTTGACTTAAAAGCATGTTGTTCATATTCCTTCTCTTACTAGTGACTAAAGCAATGAACCTGGAATATGGAAAACTACATTTTACTTATTTTTATTTATTTGGGACTTGCTCAGCAGAAGGTTGATGATCATTAGAGAAGCCAGTCTTCTGCTCTGGACATATGTTTTTACTCCAGAAGAAAGAGCAAGTACTTGTACTTGCAATGTGTTTGAAACCCTCTAAAATTTGCTTATAAAGCAAAACCAGTTATAAGTATTTGATTATTATGTTTCTGTATACGCTTGGAATGTGGTGGAGCTAGAATTATCCTAGCTTCTACAATCAGTAGACTGGAATGCAAGATTAAGAATCACTATATCTGGTTGAAGACTCACCTAGTTTGATATCCTTCCCCTGACAGTGGCCAGTAGAGGATGGGTAGATAGGAGTATAAGGACAAGGCAAAGAGGTAGTGATTTGTTCGTGTATTCTCCTTGTCATCAGCAATTATCTATTTAGGACTGCCCTGAGTGGAAATTGATAGACTTGAATAGCTTACAGTGAATTTGTCACCTGATTTGCAGTTGTTTTTTGAGTCCATTTCGGTGTCCTGGAGTAAGTAGTTCCCAGATGTCACCTATGCATTGTTTGAAGCAGCACCTCCTTTTAGCTGTCTTGATGCTGCAGTAGATGTATTAGGGTGAATTGACAAGTCTATAGACTTGATCCCAAATTTCTCTTATGTTCTTTTTGTATACTAATAATAGTTTTGAATAGACTATGATTATATCTGTTTAAGGAGGACACTGGTGATCAAAGAAGTGATGTAAATTTAAATTGGAAAATTTAAACTTTGGTGATTCATACTTGGATTCCTTGTAATGAATCGTACTAACTTTAGTGCAGTAGACAGTGATTCATTGAAGTGTCATCTGCTTCAATATATTTTTGTAAATGTGGACTTCAAATTATCCCTGTTCTCTGAAAATAATTTCATCTTTTTCCAAAAGATCAGTCCTGGCATAACTAATAACTTAATATTGTAAAATCACAGTGTGTAATTCCTTAACGTAGTATAGCACGGTAACTTGCACTTAATCATTTTTCCCCAAGTTAAATTCTGTAACATACGCTTTTCCTGTAAATTACTCAACTTATTTCTTGAAGGGGCTTGAAGGTGGGGGAAGAAAGTGGAGTGGTTGGGATGGATTTGGTGTTGCAGCAAATGAAATACATGAAATTAATCTAGTCAAATTATATGAAAATTCAAGCAATGTTATTTTATTTAGGGTTCTGTGCCACACTAAACAAGATTTTGAGCTTGCTCAGTTAGTTATATCTTTACTGCCAACACTCCTGTCTTAAAATCTCTTCTTTTAAAAAGGAAATTTTTTTTAAAATACTTGCTTGTCGTTGTTTTTGGTTTTGTTTTTGTTTTTTTTTTAATAGTTCTTGAATGAATCAGTCTGAACCAGCTTTATGGTATTGAGTACCAAGGAATGTTTAGAAAAAGAGATTACCATATCTTTTCTGTACTAGAAACTTCTGTTACTGGTGACTTAAGCTAGTGCTACTGAATGTGAAAATTCAAAATTCAATTAAAAAACAGAGGACAATATCCATAATTTTATTTTGATAGCAAATGCCTCATACTTGCACCTCTGACTTATTCTCAGGCAGGTGGCAAGAGCATCTTAATTTCATGTACTTGCAGTACTGACAAAACAAAAAAAGGTGAGACATTGAAAAATGCGTTTGTCGTTTTTATTCACAAGGTCTGTCAAAATTGGATCTTTTTACAAACATGGGGCTGCTTCTGTGAACTCTTAGGGAAATTTTGAGAAAGTTTGTTTCTCCCTGTGTCTTAGGAAACATTGGCACACCCAACTGGGCACAGAAGATGTCAGTTGAAACCTCTGTGAGTCTGGCAGAGCAGAAGCTTGAACCCAGCTCTCTGCCACGTTCCTAGTGAGTGCTCTGGCCGTTGGAGAACTGGTATCTTCTGTGTTTTTTCACATTTATTTTCATAAAGGCTTTGGTTCCGTTTTGGTATGGAACCAAATATCAATGTATGGAGTAAATATCAATGCTTTGCAAAGTGAAAAAACGTGCCTCTTAAAATATCAGAAATATATGTAAGATACCAGTCTTTAGTGAAGAAAAAAAAAAAAATCTGCTTTGGACAGTAAGATTGATTGATTCCAGGAAAAAGCAGTGTTGTGTGCCCTTTTCAAGAGCATGGAGGAGAAAAAAGTAAATAGGGATCTTAGCCCATAACACCTTTATGATGAAATAGCATTACTAAGTGTTACTGCCTCAAGAAAAGTTTTGGTTATAGTGCTACTAAAGCACAAATGCTGTCTTGTGTTTAAAATAGAACAAGAATTAACCTGAACGGCTGTAAGGCCTTGTTTCAGAATCTAGGGAGTAATTTGAGGGCAGAATTTGATTCCAAGTGAGTGACAGCTCAGCTATATGTAGGAATAATATGCAGTTTATAAACTATGTGTTAGCAACAGTACCAAAATAACATTAAAATAAAGGTTTTCTCATGATAGTTGCTATTGAGCATGTTTCAGTCAACATTCGTGTGTTGATATGACAGATGATTAACAACTGCTTAATAAAATGCAAACTTGAAGTGACGTCTCTTTTTTTTCTGAGCAAAAAGGTTTGCCAGAACACGTGGACCCTCTTTTCTGGTTTCATGATCATGTGCTGAACAGAAAGCTATATTTTTAAAGACAGCCTTAATTCCATCTCTAAAAGTACTTCCTGGTTTGTATCTTCCATGCAGTTATGTTTCTTGTTGCTTCTGGCCCACAGCAGGCCCAAATAAATATTGGAGAAGCACAGACATACATTAATATTGAAAAAGCAATGTCAAGTTACACCCATATTTTGTCTGGCAGTAAGCCCTGTGAAAATAGCCACCCACAGAGGTTATTAGTACTCCTGACCTGGATAGTTTACTTAATAAAGAGTTTAAAATAACCAAAAATAGAACGGTGGAGCCTTCAGTGGGCAAGCTAATGCCTTTCTTAAGCCCTAAATCTTAAACCTGAATCATCACTATAGGGTTTCGGTTGCGATGAACACAAGAGGGTCTGAAATATGCTGAGTGCCCAAGCTGTAAAAAGAGCCAAAGTGCGATGGTTACTTGAAACAGTGCCCTCACCTGTCCTGCTTTTAAGTGATAACATGATTTTCAGAAAATGGGTGTAGCTGTGGAAGAATAACATACTCATCATAACTTGAGTTTATGAAAGTTTATTGTGCATGTTTCAGTGGCTAAATTCTCTGAATTGTTTAAAAAAATTATGGGATTATTTTTTTTAAAGTTCAGTCCTATGTAAATGTTTTCAAATTCAGTGTTGTTTTATGAAAAAAAAAAAATTGTTCATTAATTGCTGGAATAAGCTGTAGTTTTCTGGTTACTCCTAAGACTGTGTGTTATAGGAAGCCATCATTTATTGTTTTTATTCTCTGATCTTTGTGAGAAATGGTCCAGTCTGTATATGGGTAGTTGATTTCTCCCACTACTACTGCCTGCTCTACACTTCCTCCCTAATCTGATTTAACATTTCCTCATAACTATCATATTCATGATCAGCAATATACTGCAAATATTGCATTTCTAACAATAAAACGTGAGATTTGCACCCAGAAAATTTTTCCTGTAATATTTTTATACTGTTGTGCTTGACATTATCCTTCATATATGTTGCCAGTTCTCCACCTGCATGTCTGACTTTTTCGACTTCTATAAAATTGGAGACAGGCAACAGTGGACTGCCAGGAAATGTACCATGGAGAATCTAGTTTTCTGCCTAGCAAGAAGTTCTGGAGGCTAAGTTTAGTTTGCACATGCTTGTGTCATTGTTACCAACATAGATCACCACTACTGGCTCACTCCCTGGACTCTCAAATAAACTATCCAACTATCTAGGGGGGTCTTCCTTT